GCCAGGATAACCAAGGAGTGGCTCCGTAAGAAGCATATCAAGGTTCTGGAGTGGCCTAGCCAGTCTCCAGACCTCAATCCAATAGAACATCTTTGGAGGGAGCTTAAACTCCGCGTTGCTCAGCGACAGCCCCGAAACCTGACAGATCTAGAGGAGATCTGTGTGGAGGAGTGGGCCAAAATCCCTGTTGCAGTGTGTGCAAACCTGGTCAAGAACTACAGGAAACGTTTGACCTCTGTAATTGCAAACAAAGGTTTCTGTACCAAATATTAACACTGATTTTCTCAGGTGTTCAAATACTTATGTTCAGCAGTGCAAGACAAATAAATTCTTAAAAAAATCATACAATGTGATTTCCTGAATTTTGTTTTTATTTTGTCTCTCAGAGTGGGAATGCACCTACAGTGTGAATTTCAAACCCCTCCATGATTTCTAAGTGGGAGAACTTGCAAAATCGCAGGGTGTTCAAATACTTCTGTTCCTCACTGTATTTGTCAACCTACCTTCCAAGCATGTTAACACTGTCAGAGTCAACTGAGTCGAACTGAGCCTGACAAGCTGTCAGATCAACTTTGTCTAAGAACTATTTTCTATTTAATGTCTTAATGCACCATGGGTTATAACTTATAAGCCCTATATTGTACTGTACACTGATCAGCCATGGGGGCGACTGTGGTTCAGTGGGTAGAGCAGTCATCTCCCAACCAGAAGGTTGGAGATTCGAATCTCGGTGCCTGCAGTCCACGTGTCCTTGGGCAAGACACTGAACCTCCCAAGTTTCCCCCAATGGTTTGAGCCATCAATGTGAGTTGGTGCCGCAGATGGCTGCCTCGGTTCTGTACCAGAAACAAATTCCTTGTGTGTAACATACTTGGCCAAATAAAGGTGATTATGATTATTATTATAACATTATGACCGTTGACAGGTGAGTAAATAACACTGATTATCTCATTACAATGGCATCAGTCAGGGTGTGGGATATATTAGGCAGCAAGTGAACATTCAGTCCTCAAAGTTGATGTGATGGAAGCAGGAAAAACAGGCAAGCGTAAGGACCTGAGTGACTTTGACAAAGGCCAAACTGTGATGGTGAGATGACTGGTGGCTCAGGGCATCTCCCAAACTGCAGGACTTGTTCCCGGTCTGCAGTGGTTAGTACCTACCAACAGTGTCTAATGAAGGACAAACAGTGAACCCGCGACAGGGTCATGGACGCCCAAGGCTCACTGATGATGAGGTTGACCTGCTGTAGATTAAACTTTTAAATTCCATTTGTACTTTTCAAAAGATTAAAATTGATTTGAATATTTGTTAAAATGCATTCATTTGAACCTTTGTTAAAATGGGTGAAAATGAGAAATACGGTACACTGGTCTCCATGAAGAGAAACATTCAGTGGCTGTAGTGGTGATATCACACCCAGAGGGGGGGGGCTGCTGAATGAAATCAGCCAAGACCTCTGAAAAAAAACCTCTGGACCTCCACCAGTCTGGTTCCTCCTTGGGAGCAATTTTCAGACAACTAAAGGTACCATATTCATATGTAACCTTAATACTATTCATTCATTTTCTACCGTTTCAAAAGCCTGTATACAGAAAATGTAAATCTCTTTTGCTGCTGCTTTGAGTTGAATTTAACGCTTCATGTGAGCAATGGGCTTGCTGAAGAATTGGTTAGCGTTTAAATTCAGAAAATGTTTCTCTCCAGCCAAGTAGAACCATTCTGAATCTAAACGCCCTCCTTGGACTTACTGGAATGAGAAATGCTTGAAAGATCCCACTCTTTCATTTAACATCATCCCCACATCCATTTCAAAATCTTGAGATGGTTTCAACGACACCTGTGAGGTGTCGGCTGCCTTTTGAAAAAGCACTTGAATGGAGGCCGGAGAATGGATCTTGGTTTACAGATGCCTTAATACTAAAGCATTTTAATTGGACATACCGTATGACCTGTTGTAATCTGATGCTGTGATCAGTAGCCCACGTCTGCTTCAAACATGTGAGCGCAGAGGACCCGCTGAGGGATTCACTTGAATTAATGACCTTTCATTTATGATCAAAGAGAAAGACCAACATGTGGCCCCTTCCCCCTCCACCCTCCAATCCTCTCTCTGATTTCATGCCGACACTCCAGTCCATCACACCACCTCCTGGTTTCTTCCCTTCATCGATCCACTCATCCATCCATCCTTTCCCATTTCTCCTCCACTTCATCACCCCCTTTTTTAAGATCACTCTCATTTTAAACCATTTTCTTGCCCATTTCATCATCTTCCTTCCATTTCTTACTCTCCCCAACCCTCAGTTATTTCCTTCTATCCTTTCCTCCTCCCTACATTGCTCCTCAGAGATAGCTTTGGATCCATTATATTATGGATCATCTGTAGCGAGCCAGTTTTACATGCCTGATCTAGAAGATAATGTCCCACAGCAAATCTGGGAAAGAGCATGGGCATGTTTCACTTTCTGTATGTGTATACTGTATATGTGTGTAACTGAGAATAATGAATAGAGTGAAAGATACATGAATGCGTAGTATACAGCTCAGTGAGAAAGGAGGATTAAAGCAAGGCAGGAGGGGAGTGGATGAAGGGAGCCAGGGGGTGATGCAGGCAAGAGTAAATGGAGGAAGAAAGGTTAAGGAAGGTAGAGAGACACAGAAGTGTTGAGGGAGGGAGTGTTGGCAGATTCTAGGACTGATAGATGTCAGACTGATGCAGGGAGTAAAAGAGGAAGACATTAAGGGGTAAAGAAGGAAAGGAGTGCTGGTGAGACGAGGAGTGGAGACAAGAGACAGAGAGAGATGCTGAGCTTGTGTCTGAATCTGAAGGCAGGCAATTAAAAGCATAATAAAAAGACAAGACAGCCCTTAGGTGAGGAAGTAACCAGGACTGGCAGTCACACTGCATTATGATAACACTTTCATACACACACAGACTAAAAAAGAAATATTCTGAGGGAAACACGCATCAATGCTCACACACAAAAATGTACACACATGCACCCCACACTGAACACATACACCGCGAGGGGAATTAGAAAGAGTTTTTTTGGAACCCCAGAGGGATTCTGCAGGGATTTCAGTTCAGTTTTTACTATGACAGCCTTGTCTTTGTGTGTAATGTACAGTACGTGTGTGTCTGTGCATGGGTATGCAGGTGTCTATGTATGTGAGCGGGAGAGGGAGATAGCGAGATGAGTGACATTGTTTCATTGCCGTCATCTGTAGCTTGGCAACAACAACAGGCAAAGTAAAAGCATGTCAGTCAGACGGCTGACTGCAGAAAGTGCAACTTCACAACAAATACATGTATTAGTGAGAGTGGACTTAGCATTCAGTAGCATTCATATCACTGTGGTATGAACCGAGCTGCCACATGCTGAATTTGTTCTGTTTGAACATTTACCATATCCCGACAATGCAGACATCTCAGTGTTTGTGTACATGGAAGTGTTGCCATGTGTGACTTACAATTATCAGCAGAATGAAGTAGATGAAGTTGTAGAAGGAATGAGCATCCATCACATAGTACATGATCTCCACCCAGCCCTCCAGAGTGATCACCTACAGTCAAAAAGACAGGCAACAGAAAATATATGATAAGTGTGTCCACAAGGGAGTTTGGTCTTTTTGGCAAGAACAGTGTAAGTGAGAGCACCTGTTAAATATACAGTACGGCTACATAGCTTAACCTAAGGAAAAGTCAGACACAAAACCCCTCTTAAATGGCTAATTGGTGTGTTTTTTTTTGGTTTTGTATGAATTAACTAACGAGATATGAGGTGTAAATCTGAGTGTGTTAGAAGTGCTATTACCTGTGGACAAAGCCAGGTTGGCTGAACTTATTGGAACTATTGTTCAGTTTCATTTCTTGGGTTTTTTCCACATATTTTCCTGATACATGTTTAAACAAGGAATAGTATGCAATAGAAAGGAGGGATATATACTGTATAGAGATGCTGTAAAGCTCACAGAGAATCTAAAATGTTGCTTTCTTCTGTGGATTCTTGTTTTAAGCAGCTGGCTTCTCTCTGACCTGTGTTCATAGAATCACACAGTAGATTAGATTAATTTTGATGATGTTTTGCAGTGTCAGGGTACTGTGCTGTGAATGTTTCCTACTTATTTCAGTTGCTGCTGTCTGTGAAAAGCCAAATATGTGTTAAATAAGTATTTTATTCAGCGAGGCTACAGTGTCTGAAATGGTTCATATAACATGGAGTCTAATTTTATACTTTGCCACAAACCATGAAAATCTGCAGACTATTAATCATCAAATTGTTTTTAGTGGTTTTGGACTAAAAACAAAGCAACCTGCTGGTTGTCTGCTAAGTTTACTAAAATTCCCACCTGGAAAATGACAATCCAGGCATAGGCGATGTTGTCAAAATTGATGGCTCCTTTGTGGGGGTTGGTGTGCCCAGTATGACACCTGGTGTAGTACTGGTTCCAGTTGACACACAGCCCTGCTACACTGTGGCTGCCATTGGCCAGAGGCTCTGGGCTCAGCCCCAGTGACTGGCGGTACAGGGCGTCATCCTTGTCCAGACAGCACGTCTTGCCTCCCTCGCGGCGGGCCGGGACATCAGAGCAGGACATGATGCCGTTGTCGACTGGCAGGGAGCAGATGAAGGGGCGCTCGTCGTCCTCATCAGCCACGTAATAGGGCCGAGGCAGACTGATGCCTGTAGTGCTGAAAGTGTCATGGGAGTGGTGAGTACAACAGTGTAGTACAAGTTACAGAAAGATTATCTGTATAACATATGGGGGTCAAAAATAAAACAAAACAGTAAAGAGTAAAACAGCTACTAACAGCTATTAAAACAAAAACACATCAAAGATGAAGCACTGCATTAAACCAGCTCAGTATTTATTACGATGACTCAGTATTCTATTAAATGGGACAAATAAGGAAGATATTCAAAGAAATACCAAAGTTGGCAACAGTTAAATCATGTAAATATCCTTGATGTTTTCTCATTTGAAGTTCAAACTGTAGTAACACTAGAAAAACCAAAGGAACACTTGGAAAGCTATGATACTATACATTAAAAAGTGACTCATATTAAAGGTCATGTAAGAAATTTCAGGTCTGGGATGTACTGAACACTGTGACAGGGCGTTTGCTAGGACTGTGCTTGATGAGTAACCAGTAAAATGAAGATCTATTTTAAGGCCAGTGCAGATAAGTGTTAGTCATCACTTCTGTTGACTAGAAGAAGATGGGGAATCCTGAGATGTAGAACAGATGCCCAACTGAGAACAAAATAGGATATTTCCTCTCCAAAATATTTCCTCTTCACAGGCTCATCCACCGGCTTCCACAAAAACAAACAAAAAACACAAACAAAACTCTCTGTGTGTGTGTGTGTGCACATTTGTGCAAGCTGGAACCTTAGATTGAGCAAAACCACTTGTCCTTCACAGCTATTTCAAATAATTGTGTGGTGTGACACTGGAGCCAAGAGCAGAACATATATTGATCACAGACAGAGAAATGAGAGAGACAGACAGTGAGAGACCGAGAGAACACGCTGATTATGTTTGCTATGGTAAAACAAACAGAAATGACAAAAAGCCTTTGCATTCTGAAAGATACCTAATAAATTAGATTATTAGTCTGAAGAAGACAGTTATGTCAAGATGTCTGTGTTTCTCAGCCATGTGATTTTTTTAAAGATAAGAATACATGTATATCTTTGAGGTATCTTTCAAAATGCAAAGGCTTACATGTTATTTTTGCTTGACGAACTTTTGCTGAGTGCACCTGACGTGTACTTTGAGCGCAATCATCTTTGAATATAGTTGAATATGGTAAAACTGAAAGAAAATGACACCAGGGACAAGGAGGTCAACTGCGCTTGGGCACGGTATGAGGTAACCATGTGAGTACACTTTTGTATTCAACTGTGGTTGAATGGGAGCAACTGTGGTTCAGTGGGTAGGTAGAGCAGTCGCTTCCCAACCGGAGGGTTGGAGATTCGAATCTCAGTGCCTGCAGTCCATATGTCAAAGTGTCCTTGGGCAAGACACTGAACCCCCAAGTTTCCCCTGATGGTTAGAGCCATCGGTTGAGTTGGCGCCACAGATGGCTGCCTCGGTTCTTATCCTTATAAAAGTGAAGGATGTAAATGAGAATGACAAGAAGAGGAAGATATGGAAGCATTAGGTATTTTGAATAACAGAATGAATGAAGATATGAAATAGAATGTTAAAAAATACAAATAATAAAAAATGGAGGAGGAATGCTAAAAGTAATAAATAAAAATAAAATGCCCTATAAAGAAAAAATAGAAAATCATTCAAGAAGAATTGAGGGAAGAAGTAGAGGTAGGTAGTGAAGATGAGTGTTAGAATGGAACAAGGCAAGAAATGTGAAGAGATAAAAGAAAGGAAAACAAAGATAATTGAAAGTGTGATGGCAAGATGGGATGAATAAAAACTAAATACTGTTATGTGAAGCAAAAAGAAAAAGAGAGAGAGGTGTTTGCCTTGGCATTACAAAAAGAGCAAAGGCTAAAGACAGAACAGCAATACTCTGTGTAATCTCACTTCAATCTGAGAGTGGGTTGCTGTTTAAAGGGCAGACAGAAGAAAGAGATGCAGATGAATGCAGACGTGGTTAGCAATTACATCTAACCTGGTATTTGAGAAGGCTCCACAGATGCAGCATTGTGAGTACTAGCCTGTCTCTCAATCAGTCTAATTCTTTGCATCTCTTTCACTGACTCTGTCTGTCTGTATTGTACTGTAATGAATAGAACCTATTGTCAACTGACCTCAGGAGATCTACAGCTTTTATATGTCAACAGAATTTACAACAAGCTCTGGTTATTGACAATTTAGGCTCAGTTATAACAATTGATTCTGGCCAAAATCTCCTCAGCTACATCAGGACAAATCAAATCAGTATATTATCAGTAAAAAAAATAGA